CTGCCACCCCCCCCCCAAGCGAGGGCCAATGGCTTGCAGCCGGCCGGGCCTCGCGCCCTCCCTTCCTCTCATGGGTCTGGCCGGCTGGCTTCGAGGCGGCGGCGACAGTGAGGCCGGCTGCAGAGCGTTCCCTGCACATGCGCAGGGAACGCTCTGTCAGTTTTGGGGGGATTTAAGTATCCCCCCGTTGTTGTTTTTTTTAACTTTTCAGATTTTTGTGTATACCTGGGGACCACCCCACGTGTGCACAAAACTCCCCCTCCCCCCCAGGTGCCCCCGGTGCGCGGATTTAGCTGTCCGCACACCAGGGGGCGACTTGGCTATTAGATATATAGATTAGGCATCAGTGATGATCTATTTCTGCAATCTGGCAACTCAGAACTGCTTCAATATTTTGCAAGCATATGGTCCTCATACTGGACTCACTCTCACACAAAATTCTGAAGTATCGTTCAACTTTACATCTCCTGAAAAAGATCTCAATCTGTATTCCCCTGGAAAATTACCATCTTCAGTCCTCAACACAAAGCTTCCCCCAGTTGTATGGATTTGGTAGCTACATTGCAAACCAGATGTTGCTGAAACAGCAAATAAAAAGATCAGTCAAGGTAACCCAATTTGCACCGTGAGATCAGGGCATCTGATGTCCCTAACCATTCAGGAAGCTGAACTGCAGAGCACAGCTCAAATCCATCACACCTACTTAACAAGAGAGATCTAGACTGTCACTTGGGGGGAAATGGTCACATAGATTGAAGAACTTCCAAGGGAGTCCTTACCTAGAACTAAAATAGTATGGGCTAGGGCCAGTTTATCCTCAATGCTTATTTATAGAGCAAATATAGATTCTTTTTTTTTAAGGGCAGAACGGTGGGAAAGCGTTAACTGAAAATAAGGATGGTATATTACGTGGAAGCCACTGGAGAGTTTATTTCACAGCAGAAGTTGCTATAAACAATACTCCTGTAGACAAAAAAAACACCCCAACAACACAAGAGGCTGAAATGCTGAAGAAGTGTTTTCCCCCCATTAATCATGGCAGATAGTTTTCAGTATTCTCATAGTCTTACTGCCCGGCCATCACCATGGCACTGAGCAGACCTCATGACACATTCAAACAAACGGCACTGTATGAATGAGATTTTGGAACTGTCATCGGTGACTAACTCACAAAGGTTTTATTTATAACAGATTCTTTGTACTTTTCTCTGCATGGCAGATCAAATTTTGCCAATACATCTGGCTCCCAACATAATGCCATGTAACAATGAGACTGATCTTCCATCTTCATATGTGAAAAGCTTTGTAGTTCTATTATATTTCAGTTAAGGTCTGACAATACATCTGAAGAAGACAATGCATCTGAAGAAGGTGGCTCTTGTCTTCAGGAGTTCATCCCACAACAGACTGACTGTATGAGGTACGATGGGATGTGGTTCCCTGCTGCAACAAACTAACATGGCCACCATTCCAGAATTCATACACATGACCATACAATCAAAAAATATAGCACTGTTTTTTCCCTTCATAGTTACCACATTTCAGGTCTGCAATTATGAGATTATGCTGCTAACTTTTTAAAATTAATTTAAAGAGACTCTAGCAACTATAACATCAACAATACATTGACAAACTGAATACTAACCTGTCCCAGACCAGGCATGCCTCCACCAAGTCGAAGGAGTCTATCCATATTTTCTAGAAAAACAAAAAGAAAGCATACCTAGATTCTGATGTGTTTACTAAGTTGTTCTTCATATAATTCACCGTCAGTCACTCAGTATGTAAAAAATATTGGTAGTAATTACAACACAACATCAGACTTCCTGTTAATTAACACCACATATTAATTCAAGAAGCTGTCTTCCATGCTAATTAACAACCTTACTTTAGATGCATAGGTTTTGGGTTATCCCCAGTTTTGAAAAAGACAAGTATTTCTTGTTATAATCTGGGGGGAAAAGTTTGCAATCATTTATTTCCTCCCCTGCTACTTACCTTGGGAAGAAACATCTGCATACAAAAGTAGAGAAAACTCATCACCGTTTGAGTTTCCTTTAATTTGTCTTGAGTACATCAATATAAAAATAATTCAGAAGTGAAGATTTTTAAAATCCTCATTAGTAAGTTCTGTGCTAATTAACTTACAGCTTGTCAGTTATCATCAAAACTGCATGTGAAAGACGCCGAACAGATTATAGATTTCCGAATTAGCATCAAAAGCTTTTTTTAATGAACTCATTACACCAAAAGAACACTGTAAAGTAAACATTAAATGCCTTTAGTTAAAGTACTAAGAACTATACTGTCAATTCCCTACATTTCAAATCGTGTTAAATATGGAATGCTGGAGAAAGGCTAAGCCACAAACACTGTGACATTTGTTATTTTGCTTTAACATTAACATTTTGAGATATGACATGCCACTACAGGTTCTTGAAATTCAAAATATCTTAACTAGCAGCATACTTCCATAAGTGATGGTCTAAATTGCTGTTTAACTTTTTCAAGCCAGACCCACCAGAATCCAATCCCAGAATGCCAAGATTTAAAATATCATAATCTCTTTTTCTACACTTTGTATCAACAGAAAGCATCTGTGCATGGTTGAGCTCACTGGTATAGGCCTGAGTGGGCGCTCATTACTTCAGGATAGCAATAATGCTTTTTCTGGGAAAATATTACTTAGATAAGTTTCCAGAAAATAAACGATAATTGATTTAAATAAATAATGTTTGCAAAAGAAGGCAAATACACCATGGAAAAGCCCTGGAGTTCGTCAATGCTTCATATCCCACACCGAGAACATTTTACAAGATTTTGTTTTTGCAAACATTTTCCATGGAGAATTTTCCATTTTGCAAACATTTTCCATGAAAACTTTTCCACCCCACATCACTGCTTCAGGGATGCTCAACTCATAGCACTTCTTCAAGGACACGCTACACTGTAATGGGACTTAAGGAGGAAACTTTGGATTCTCCCTTTCTCTCTCCATATATATATTTCCCTAAGGTATCTATCTATAGGATCCTAAGAAACCAAAACATGATAGTACCTTTTAGGCTACAGATGCTAATTTTATGCCCCCAAGCATTTCCCCTCTGCTCTAATTAAACAGATTACAATATGCATTCTGCCTTTGCATCCTTCCACCTTCTGACAGGGATAAAAAGACTCAGATCTCCATTTCTACTGGTACTTGACAAAGGGAGCTTTGACTCTTTTTTTTAAATAACATTTTATTGAATTTCAACAGGTTTTATAAAGCAGAAACAGTTTTTACACAGGTATAACGACAATAAGAACATTAACACTAGTATCGACTATGAGAGGTGAATGACAACACTGCCTATGTAAGAAAGAAAAAAGAGAACTCCAAACCTAATAACTTCATGCACCAGTAGCAGTAGTTTCCGGAGTTTATAAAAGCATTACCTCAGTATTATGCAAAGCCCATTTTTCACAAATCATCTTATCTGTTTCTACTTTTTCTAAGAAAGGAAACCATTTGTCTAATGGGTCTAGCATTAGCCTCATCATTACTGTTCTATCCGAATACACCGCACACTTTTCTAGGGTAAAATAATCCCATACTTTGCTTAACCACTGGTCTAGTGTGGGGGGCATTTCATTTTTCCATTGTTGAGCAATGGTTGCTTTCGCCGCTGTCAATAAAGTTAAAATCAGATCTGTACGGATTCTGGGGATCTGAGCCTCTTCCAAAAGGTTTAGCAGAATAATGGCTGGATCCATGGGGATACTGCAGCCTGTAAAGTATTTTATGGATTGCAGTATTTGTTTCCAGAAATTCTGGACGTGAACACATTCCCACCACATGTGAATAAAAGAACCCTTCGAACCACATTTCTTCCAGCATAATGGGCTTATGGTAGAGAACATGTGTGCTAATCTGACTGGCGTGAGGTACCATCTGAATAAAACTTTGTAAGCTGCAGCCTGAATCGTTAGAGATCTGGAGATGCGGTTTGTATCACGCTATATCTTCTCCCACGTATCTTTTGGAAGAGTAATGTTTAGATCTTTTTGCCACACTTGTTGGTACGTAGTCAGATGGTTAGTATGGAGCTCAGATAAAATTGTATATATTTTAGATATAAGTCCTTTCTTTTGACAATCAGTGTATTTAAGAAGATTTTCAAAATCCGATAACCCAGAGTTTGGAGAAGTATCGTCACTTGTGGTAAGTACTGATTGTAATAAATGTTGGAGTTGCATATATTCGAACCATTGAATTTTAATCTTGTACTTCTTTTCCAGTTCGTTTTTAGTTAAGGGGTGTCTGTTACGGGTAACATCAATTAGTCTTGTGATTCCCGCAGACTTCCAAACTTTGAAGGACTGTTCCTCAGTGGCCGGCTGAAACCACGATTATCCTGTGAAAGATCGAAGCACCGAAGACTGGGAAACCAATCTGTCTTTAATTAAGTACCATATTTTAAGCGTTGTGTTGAGAAATGGATTGCTTAGATAATATTGAATCTTTTGGAAGCTTTTTTCCCACAATGCTTCCTTAAAGGTCTTCTGGAATAGGTAAGTGCTTTCAATTGTCATCCAGTCCGTCTCTGGGGAGGCATGATAATGCCAAACAAGATTCGTTAGGGTGGCTGCTATGTAATATCTCCTTAGGTCCGGAATCAATAATCCTCCTCTACGAACGTGTCTGCTCATTACCGACGATCTAATTCGAGGGGCCTTGTTTTGCCAAATAAAGTTTTCTATAAGGTTTTGCCAGCTATTCAATAAATAAGGGGGTATATAAATTGGTATGGCACGAAAGTGAAAGAGAAATTTAGGGAGAATAAAGCTTTGACTCTTGAAAGCTCATACCCTAGAAATCTTAGAACGTAAGAACATAAGAGAAGCCAATGTTGGATCAGGCCAATGGCCCATCCAGTCCAACACTCTGTCACACAGTGGCCAAAAATACCAGGTGCCATCAGGAGGTCCACCAGTGGGGCCGGGACACTAGAAGCCCTCCCACTGTTGTCCCTCCCCCCCCACGTACCAAGTATACAGAGCGTCACTTGCCCCAGACTGAGAGTTCCTATCTATACCTTCTGGCTAATAGCCACGGATGGACCTCTACTCCATATGTTTATCCAATTCCCTCCTGAAGCCGTCCATGCTTGTGGCCACCACCACCTCCTGTGGCAGTGAATTCCATGTGTTAATCACTCTTTGGGTGAAGAAGTACTTATTTTTATCTGTTCTAACCCGACTGCTCAGCAATTTCATTGAGTGCCCATGAGTTCTTGTATTGTGAGAAAGGGAGAAAAGGACTTCTTTCTCTACCTGCTCTATCCCATGCATAATCTTGTAAACCTCAATCATGTCACCCCTCAGTTGCTGTCTCTCCAAGCTAAAGAACCCCAAGCATTTTAACCTTTCTTCATAGGGAAAGTGTTCCAACCCTTTTATCATTCTAGTTGCCCTTTTCTGCACTTTTTTCCAATGCTAGAATAGCCTTTTTGAGGTGTGGTGACCAAGAACTGTACACAGTACTCCAAATGAGGTCGCACCATCAATTTAGAAAAAGAGAAGAGTTTGGATTTATACCCCACCCTTCACTACCCAAAGGTGTCTCAGAGCGGCTTACAAACTGCTTTCCCTTCCCCTCCTCACAACAGACACCCTGTGAGGTAGGTGGGGCTGAAAGAGCTGACAGAAACTGCTCTTTTTCAAGAACAGCTCTTATCAGAACTACAGCTTGCCCAAGGTCATCCAGCCAGGTGCAAGTGGAGGAGTGGGGAATCAAACCCGGTTCTCCCAGATTAGAGTCCGCACACTTAACCACTACACCAAACTGGCTCTCTATACCATGTTTAAGTTACATGGTTGAAGTTACCATATTGAAGGTGTAATGAGAGAAACATGTAACTTCTCAGTAACTGGCCACTCAGAAGACAGTAGAGTTAGCAGGAACACTAAAGAACCATCTTACAATAGACTAAATCATGTTCCTTTCACTCTGACAACTTAGGATCAGCTAACAGGTAACCAGTAATGCTTAAGTCTGTCATTTGAGACATGAGGACTGAATCAGAGATACTTCTGTAATACAAGTGACCAGCAAATTCAGCAATGACCACTTTTTTTGGGGGGGGGGTTGCTCCATTGAACCAGCAATAGGTACACAGCTTTTTAATGAAAATGGAGTTTTTATATCAGAGTCAAGGTACCGTGCTATTGACTATCATAGCAAAAAATCTTTTGGCATAGGCTAGGGAAATGACAAAGTAAACTGTTCTGCTCCTGCCTACCTTAGCAATGCAAAGAATGTTTTCTCAAATGTGTTATGCCTGTGCATCCCAATTCATGAAAGGAACATGATTTAGTCTACTAAAGGATGGTTCTTTAGTGTTCCCGTTTGACTCCACTGCCTTCTGAGTAGCCAGTTACTGAGAAGTTATGTGTTGCTGTCATTACACCTTCAATGTGGTAACTTCAACCATGTAACTTAAACTCTTGGGTTTGGATCCTATGGTCACCTTTGGTTTCTGCAGCAGAAGCTCCTCTGACCAAAAAAAAAAAAAGCTTTTCCAGCTGCAGAGGATGACTTCTGTTAATTCCCCCCTCCTGCTGTAGTCTTCCAAATTCCCTCCACCTCCACACTTTTCCTCCGGATTTACAGAACTCAAGAAGCACAATTTGGGGAGGCAAAGAAGGCTGCAGCGTGAGGGTGGAAGGCAGGGAAGATGCCTTCTGCTAGCATGACTCCACTCGCATTGTTCTGGGCCCAAGCCATAATTTTCTCAGTATCATACCCACAGCCTCAAGATCACCAATTAATGCTAGCTACACCATTTTAGTGACAGACTGGCATTTGTCCTGTGTCCTTTCACAGTTACAAAAAAGTTAATCTTATACCACCAATAACATAGGCTCAACTTGGACTTAAGAACTATTGCCAGTATCTAGTTGCAAAGCTGTTCAGATATGCTGGACAACAGAATGACATATCTAGAAAATATGTTGTTTTATCTACTGTTGTTCACCACCCTGAGCCATGTTTACAGGGAACGGGCAGTACAGAAATCAAATTTAATAAATAAATAATAAGCAATACAGTGCTCAGGAATCTAAGAAAATGATTTGAATCATTCTGTTCCTAATTTGTACTCACCTACTCAGTTCTAGTCAGGACTCCCGAGTCTTGATGCCAGTGAAGTTTTATTCCTATGAACACAGAAAGAACGACAGGCAATGAGAAAAGTTCCTTAGCTTTGCATACTGCAAGTCATACCCATGACGCCATGGACACACCTTTGCTGAATTTCAGACAGGTTAAAAAAATCCTATGATGATACACACAGTGTATTTAACAGCAGAACACTGCATGGTGGGTTGCTGGAAAGAATCTAGCTCCTGTCAGTGAGCACCACAGAACGAAAAAGAGGATATGGTGCCTTTAAGAGATGGCATCAGGGGCAGAGGCACTGGGCTGTCAGCTGCAAAACTGTGCAAGCATACATAGACACTGGATGGACAGCAGAAACCAGCAACAGGGAAGGTGATGATGTCACTTCTCTCCCCCCCCCCAACTAGGGATTCTGCAATCTATTTGATTGCTGTACGCCTGCACAGTGCTCCAGCCAAGACCCCAGGGCCTCCACTACCCTCCAGTAAGGCCACAACATTTTCTCCTTCCTTCAGCAGCACTCAGTGGCAGGAGATTAAACTCTCCTAGTAATGTGACATGTGAACCACTACTGCAGCAGAGGCTTACTTATTCATTCAAGGTGAGGCAGGAGAATAAAACATCCGTTGAAGAGGCAAAAATGGTATATTCACACACAAGTTGGGAGAAAGTCATACTGACTCAATTATATAAAGATATTGGATTCACTACTTAAGTAGCTTAACCAGAAAGGCACTTACACATTCACTCACAATCTATATATGAACATCATACCTGCTAACATACTTTTAACAGACCCTCAAAGATCTAGAAGGTTTGGGACCAACATACCTGAAAGAGCACCTACTCTCTTATGAACTGGCCCGACCACTAGGATCATCTTTGTAGGCCCTGCTTTAAGTGTTTTGGGTACCCCCACCTCCTGAGATTATGCAGGTGGCAACTCGGGAGAGGGACTTCTCAGTCATGGCACCAAAGCTCTGGAACTCTCTCCCAAAAGAGACTGGTCTGTTCCTTTCTTCCGCTAGTGAATAAACAGTTTGTTTTGTTTGGCAGTCCCTCAACAATCCCTCCTTCCTGGCCAATGTTTTACGGTAAGTGCTGTTTTTACATTTTGGTACATATTTTAACTCCATTTTTAATTTGCTATAATGATGTGTGTTGGGGGGGGGTTAATTTCAATGGTTTTAAAATGTGATTTCATCATGTATGTTTTAAATTGTTAGTCGCCTTGGTGGCACTTGTGAGAGCAGAAAGGTGGGACATACCTTTTGTAGAAAATGAATAACAACATAATAATTTGGTGCAACATGGCAAAATATCTTAACATAGTCGGTGGCTTGGATCCTGCCTAGAATTCCACAGGTGCAAAGAAGCGGTAATTTTCACTGATCCTCTTCTTCCTCTGGGAGCACTTTGATGCCGCCCTAAACTATTCCTGGGGGTCCCCAACCCCCCGGAGCAGCATTTGGTGTGTGTGTTTTGGGCTACCAAAGGATAGGAGAATTGGCAAGAATACTCTCCTGTGGAAATCTAGATGGGTTAGACGCTCATGATGTGGCAAAGATCAGATAATGTTAAAACTATGAGAATTTATATGCTCAACCAGGCTCCAATTACTTGCTGCATAAGGTTAACATACTAAGGCCAACAAAGAAACATATTAGCTGAATTATAGCGAACTCTTTAGAGATGGCCTGAATGATACCCCTGAGGTAAAAAAAAAACCCAGCTTCCTGGAGGAATATTAGGCCATCACATGTCCCATTCTAGCCAGGTTCAAGGGTACATACAACAACACCAAGCCAGGAACAAGAACATCTCGGACATTCTTGCTTAAATGGGTTGGCAAGTTACACGGGGTGGAGATTTGGAGGCTAAAATGAGATGAGGGAAACAAAAAGTCAAGCTCCTGCCCAATCCCCTAAATTCAAATTAACGGCAAGTCTGCACCAGCTCTAAGAGACTTGGATACCAGCCTTTATTAGCTATTTACAGTGGCTAAACATTTTATGAAAGCTGAAAAACGTTTTTCACATTTTCATATGGACAAGTTTTTGCAGATGGATGCTGTTGAGGTGCCAAAAAAATAATACTTAATGAACAAGTACACCAGGAGTTCTCCACAAATGCAAGAGGATCTCCAATTATCATAAGCTTTCCATATGCAAATATTTATGCATAATGCAGTATTGTTTAAATAGCTATCCCAATGCAAAAAGCTACTTAGAATTTGCTATGTTTAGATGAAACCAAGCAATGCAAACATGCTACACTTGATTTGCTAAAGCTTCGATTAGCGGCTTTAGTTATACATTCTTCACCAGGCCATGGGCTCCCTTACACACATCTCTTTGTTAACTTCATCATCAATCTATCTGACCATTCTCTCTTCAGACACCCTATGAGGGGCACAGAAGAATGTGACTTTAGGAAGAACCAAAAGCATCCCATGTGGCAATCAGAGACCTCCCTGTATTCTGAACCTGATTCAGGGCAGAGTAAGAGAATATCGTAACTCTTTCTCAGATGGGATATTCTGCAGTAATGTAGGTTATCCAGGAAAATTTTCTGATCCAAATTTAAATAATATTAACAAAATCAAAAGGCAGCAAATGCGCCATGTACAAGTCTAGACCATGTAGAAGCCCTGGAGTTTGTCAGTGCTTCATATCTCACGTTTAGCCCATCTAACATGATTGATTTGCATCACAACAGCCCTGAAAACTACAATAAAATGACTATATTTACATACGTGAGGTGGAAAATTTTCCATGGAAAAAATACAGCATCACAAAACAAGAGATGAGCAGAAGTGGTTTGCCATTGCCTTCCTCTGCCAAGCAACCCCAGTCTTTCTTGGTGGTCACCCATCCAAGTACTGATTATGGCCAGCCCTGCTTAGCTCCCAAACTCAGATGAGCCTGAGATAAGCTGGGCTATTTGGACTGCTCAGCGAAACGCAGAAATGGGGAAAAGTCACTAAATCAACATATATATCGTTCTATGTAGAATTGGGGTGAAGGATTGATGTGCTTTTATTATTTACCTCCATCAAGTAGGACTGGATAAGCTATAAATCGAAACAAAAAGGCAGCAGGTACATCCAAAAGCTCAAAACAGATAGGATAGGCTAAGCCATCACTAACATGGATGCTGCTGAACAGTGGCATACCAGACCATTCTGCTCAGCACACAGTAGCACCAGTGGGATTCAGCCATCTCCTCTGGACAAGTACACTTTTATCTCCCCACCCACCCCGATCCGAATGGTAGCACACCAACAGCATCACAGCTAGACCGTATGAGGTGAGGTTTTTTTGTTAGTTTCGTTTTTTGGCACTCAGGCCAAAAAGCTTGACTGCACAGAAACAGAATAAAAAACAAACAGCAGTAATGGAAGAGGTGACATGCAGAAGATGTACATGCACAAACTACAACAGCTCACCTAAACAAGGGAGCCTAATAAGGGAGTGTGAGATGCGTTAAACAAACAACCCTAAAAGGTGTCTAAATTACTACGAAACTGTTGCCGTTGTGTTCTCCCAATTAAAGAAGAGCCAAGAAGCCCCATTTGAAGGAGAAACAGTATGCTTAATGCAAGCTAAAAGGAACACATTGGCAAATAATACTGGCCTAAGCGAAAGCTGTTGGATACTGCAGGCATTTAGTAAAAGTAATAAGATTTTTCTCTAGTAGTTATGGCTACTACTATCAGCAATTATTTGCCACGGCAGTTGGAATTCACAGAATTAAACATTTTATGAACATTTGGGGGGGAAGGGGGAGAGACAAGAAGATTATACTTGTCCACACCCACTGGGAGCAAATAAAGCAACAATGCTATTCATGATTATCTTGCTGTGGCAGAAATGAGCTCTAAGGCAGCAAGAGAGATGCAAACCTTCACTGAGCCATCACACTGAGCAGCCTGACACTACGCACTATGGGTCAAATTTAACAAACTGCACAGGAGGCTGGTTACAATGATAATTTAACAATCATAAAGCACATTGAGCACTAAACCACACAGAAATAAACATTAAACTAAGGCACAAATAGCAATAACTCAAGCTGCTGGAAAACAGCAACTCATGGGGGGGGGGGGGGGGGGAAGAAAAACAGGAAATTAAGTATACTTCGATCCTCATGTAACTGTTTCTACTCTGTTAGGCAACATTCCCAGCCTCTGCTGACACCTGTTTCCACTATTTTACATATCCAGACCTTTTTTGGGAGCTTTCAAAAATGGTCTACCCACCCAGTGGCATTCACTAAATTCAATCTGGTCTTAAAGCAGCTGCTCCAAATCCCAGTCTGGTCATGTGTGTGTAAGTACACTATTTTATATACATATACATACATATATATATATCATACCCATTCTCTTACGCTCATACCAACCCTGCAGGTAAGTGGTCTGAAAGAGACGTTGGTCCAAGCTTCCATGGCAGAGCAAAGATTGCAACTCAGACTTTTCAGATCCTAGCACAGCTACCACATCACACTGGCTCTCCTTGATCATTTCAGATGAACAGCTATGGCTGCGGTCACACACACTGAAATAATCCACTTTCAATCCACTTTTGAATTAGATTTTGCCAGTTCACACCATGAAAATCCAGTTGGGAAGTGGATTGAAAGTGGATTATTTAGTGTGTGTGACTACGGCCTATGTTGGTCTACTACTGAAAAATGAAACCGGACTCCAGCATGTCTTTAAATACTAGCAATGTTTACTTCGCATGAAGCTGCCTTATACACTGAATCAGACTCTCGGTCTACTGAAGTCAGTACAGAGCTATTTAAGTAATGGGGTAACTTTGAGGTTATGTAGGAGATCTCTCTGATTTACTGTTGTGATTATTGTAATAACCTGGGGGGGGGGGTTGAAAGCATATTTAATGTTGTTACACACTCTGGGTCCTGACCGTGTCCGAATAAACGTGTATAAATACACTAAACTAATCAGACATACAAAGAAACCGAGGGCTTCGTTCATCGTTTTAGTTTGGCAGAGAAATCTCAAAAGAGAGCTTTTTCGAGGGATGGCGTTAAAAAAAAAGGGTGAACGAGGAAGCAAAACTCGGGTCAAACTTTACAATTCGCAAAACGGGCCAATTCGCAAGTCGCGTAATTTTTTTAAGCCCTCCTGATACTGCTAATACAGAAAGAAGTCCGTCCGTCCCCCCCCCCCACCAAAAAAAAAAAAAAGCGGAGAAGAAAATGCGGATTGACAACGCCTCTATCTTCTGCTCCATGACAGAGCGCGAACTCCCCCACCTGGGTGTCTCGTCAGGCCAACATCCGGGCACTTGCCCAGGACCCCCCTCCTGCCCTCCCCCACCTCAAACCAAGTAAAGCCTTTCCTCTCGCTCCCCGCTTAGATCACGACCGGCGTCTCTCGTGCCTAAGGCCTACCCGTAGTGGCGGCGATTCCAAGCCCCCTTCCCTCAGGCAATTCGTCTCTTCCTATCAACGAGCGCTCAGCACCACCGTCTTCCGCTCAACAGGGCCGCGATGAATCAGCCCAATCCATTCAAACTCGGTCCGCCGTACCAGGCCTCCCTCAAACACTTCCGGGATCAAGGAGCGTTCCGTCCCTTCATTTCCGTCTCTTCCCCGCTCGGCTTCCGTTCGCTCCTCGCTGACACCCAATCGTTTAGCCATAGTTGGAGCCATAGCGACGGGAAGGTCCCACCCTCCTTCAATGAATCCTCGTGTAAACAGAGCTTTGCAGCCCTGCCTCCGGCGCGCGTTCTATACAAGGAAGTGTCCGCCCGCGGCGTGTAGAGTGCGAAGGTTTGTGCTGCTCGCCACCTCATTGCGTGTGTCAAGCCAACACGTGTCAGATGTGTTTTGGGTGGATGTTAGTGGCTGATAGATCATTGGATCCAAGGAAGATTTTAAAAAAAAAGAAAGAAAAAAGAAGTGGTCTTCTAATCTTTCAAAGGAGAAGGAACCTCTCTGTCTCTCAGCCAAGGATGGACGACATTCTACACCCAGTCTGCTAACTTTCCTCATGGGTGTGTGTGTTCTGTATGCTTCTTGTGTGGTAGGTCTGTGATTACTCAAATACAAGACCAAGTATACATAGAGCATACAGATGGCAAGCTACCCTGTATAAATAAATCTTCAGGATTTATTTATTTAAGTATTTTTATCCCACTTGTCGCTTCAAAGTAGCTTACAAAATACAATGTTCTTTAATCATAGTCGGTCTTTCTCACCAAAACGCAAGGTATGCTATGTAACTCAATGCGGTTACTAGGCTGAGGCATCTAATAAGAAATATAATAGAACTAGGATTACAGAAATCTGAAAACATCATAAATTATTAAATATGAAATCTTTAAGACCAACAAAGTTTTATTTAAGGTATAAGCTTTTGTACAAAAGCTTATACCGTGAATAAAACTTGGTTGGTCTCAAAGGTGCCGCTGGATTCAACCTTCTGAATCTAAAGATGATATGTTATACATAGGGTTGCCAACCTCTGGGGGGACTGGAGATCTCCCAGGATTACAGCTGGTCTCCAGACTACATATATCACTTATTTATTATTTATTTAAAACATTTATTCTACTTCCTCTGAAGAAAATGGCTGCTTTAGAAGGTGGACTGCATGGCATTATACATTACCAAGGTCCATGCCCTCTGTATTACTGTAACCTCCACTCTCCCAGGCTCCTCCCTCAAATCTCCAGGTATTTCTGAATCCAGAGTTGGCAACCCAATTATACAATGTAGAAAATGGCGTTACATCAGTATAAAACAATACAGTGGCAGCAGGATAATGCATGCAGCAAACAGATAATACAGACTGAACACAGTGGCATAGTTCACAGTTCCATTCATTATATTTGTTTATTTAAACATTTACTGCAACCTTTCTTCCTTTGGGAGCTGAAGACAGTTTACAATAAAATAAAATACATAAAAAACAACATTTAAACAGGAAGCATAATAAACAGGAATAAAAACACAAAACCTCCCAAAGAGAACAATAAACCACATCACGGGCTGGTTCTGGGTTCATTAGCCTGGCTCACTCAGGGCCACAATGCCTTCGAAGTATCAAACTGTAATTATGAAACAGTGTATGAATTTTCCACAAGTCCATTGTCTATGGTAGACAACCAATTGAGATTGGTATAATTTCTGACTCCTACTGTGGCATACTATGACAGTATCTAGTTCGGGGGTGGTGGTGGTCATGCAGCATATCCATTACATAATCAGTATCTAGATAAAGGCAATGGTAATTTCTGAAGATCCTCTGGGTAATTTTGTTGTTGTTCTGTTTTGTTACAGACTTTAGATCTTAGGAGTCTTGAGGACACAAATTCCACATGTCCTAAAGCAATTAGGCATTTTCACGGAACTGTGTTAGATCTTTTGCAATCAGTTTTCTGTGGGTGATATATGACCAATAATTTCCCAAACTATTCACTATTCTTGTTATGATTTTGCTCAGTCCCATCAATCTCCAGACATTTCTACATTAACAGTTGTCTTCAGTGGACTTAGAAATTTGCTAAACCCAAAAAACCCAAAGAGAACAATAAACCACATCACGGGCTGGTTCTGGGTTCATTAGCCTGGCTTGCTCAGGGCCACAATGCCTTAAAAGTATCAAACTGTAATTATGAAACAATGTATGAATTTTCCACAAGGCCATGGTAGACAACCAAATGAGATTGGTATAATTTCTGACTCCTACTGTGGCATACTATGACAGTATCTAGTTCGGGGGTGGTGGTGGTCATGCAGCATATCCATTACATAATCAGTATCTAGATAAAGGCAATGGTAATTTCTGAAGATCCTCTGGGTAATTTTGTTGTTGTTCTGTTTTGTTACAGACTTTAGAGCTTAGGAGTCTTGAAGACACAAATTCCACATGTCCTAAAGCAATTAGGCATTTTCACGGAACTGTGTTAGATCTTTTGCAATCAGTTTTCTGTGGGTGATATATAACCAATAATTTCCCAAACTATTCACTATTCTTGTTATGATTTTGCTCAGTCCCATCAATCTCCAGACATTTCTACCTTAACAGTTGTCTTCAGTGGACTTAGAAATTTGCAACTCTGTTTTGGATTACGCTGTAAATTGCTTTTAATTTTCTGTCATAAACAAGCTGTTATTTTATTCCATGCTGTGTCCTAGGAACTCACGGCAGCATACAGATTTATCCCTTCCCCATTTTATCCTCGCAATAACCCTTTGAGGTAGGTCTGATAACACCCTGTCTTCAGACCTAAAAACTAGGGATTTAAATCTCACACCTTATGAACTTCTTTGATAGGTCCTTTTCCGCATTTGCCTGCCGCTCTGGATTTTCTCAGTGTTTGAGCAAGGCAATTTAAGTCCACGGCAAAACATCCCGCATTTGCCTGCCGCTCTGGATTTTCTCAGTGTTTGAGCAGAGGCAATTTAACTCTATAGCAAAACAACATCCAAATAACCTGGGGCAACAGCAGGCTGGAACCAGGCTGACCACTGAAGGGAGGTAATATAATGCAGAATGGGTACAAAACCCAGAATAAAAAGAAGGTTCAACTAGATTTTAGTGCAGAATGGGGAAAAAATCTGAATTAAAAAGGTTGGATTCAATTTTTGTGCAGAATTGCTTGGAGGACACCATGGTGAACATGGATTAAAAGGATAGTGCAGAAAGGGCCAAAGACAGTCAAATAGACAGACAGACAGACAGACACTTGTTATAACTGAGGCTTTTGGAACTACTTTGTCTTCTACTCCTTCTAGTCCTTGTGATGCCTCCTGGTATTCACTTGGACTGTTATGAGGGGATTATAGGTGTGAAGGAACCACAGAGTAGGCTTGATAAAAAACAACGCTTTTTCTCCAGCCTTCTCAGAAGTACAGTAACAAGGTTACTGGAGAGCTAAGAATTTGTAAATATTACAAAGAAGGTTTCTTGATTGACCGACTCAGACTTCTAACACAGAACCGAAAGGCTTTTAACTGTTTTTGACAAGAATAGCACTCAAATTCAACCTGTTTTCAAAATTCCTAAAGTCCCCTATGAACTCCCTGTCTAACCAGCAGACCTCCCCTAACCCTTTTTCCCACCAAAGTCCAGCAACCCCCACCTCTGTCAGTTGGCCAGGGGTTAAACTGCCAAACTGCTCCATGTTTCCCAACATTCCAGTCCACCTTTTGAAAGTTATTGGCTGAGGCTCCTGGAGGGTGTCACTTGAAACTGTCCATAGGGTTGCTAGGTCCTCCCTAGCCACTGGCAGGGGATGGGGGGTAAAGTTGCCAGGTCCAGGTTGGGAAGCTTCTGGAGATTTGGGGGTGGAGCCTGGGGAGGACACAGCTCTCAGTGGAGGTATTTTGCCATAGAGACCACCCTCCAAAGCATCCATTTTCTCCAGGGGAACTGATCTCTGTAGTCTGGAGATGAGGTGTAATTCCAGGGGATCCCCAGGGCCCACCTGGAGGCTGGCATCTCTAACTGTCCATCACAGAAGGCTAGGTTAGGAGAGAGTGACTGGTCTAAGGTCACTGGTGACCTTCATGGCAAAATGGGTATTTGAACCTGACACTAGCCCAAAACTAACTACTAAACAACACTGGCTGAAAAGTACGCAAACGGAGTGATTTCAGCAAAGCGTACTTTATTATCCGGAACAAGATGACTTTGGCCGGCTCGCAGGCCGGCTTATATTCCCCGAGAAACCGCCACCCAAAACACACCCCTACTTCCCTATAGGTTATTTACAGTGGCTGAGAGTCCCATAGGCTCTCGGCCGGGAACCTAGCCCCCTGATTGGAGTGGGCTAGGATCCGCATAGTCCATTGTCTCTTGGAGCGAAGCTCGACGTTTGTCTCTGGACTTGTCTGGACTGGATACACTACCCTGGCTCAAACTGGAAATCTCACCTAAGGTACTCTGGACTTTCAAAAGGAAAAGCAGGCTATGAATATGAACCAAACTGAGGTGTTCTTCCTTCACCATGCCTGCACCATACCACACTCACAAAGGAACCAAAAAGAGGATTCATCCTTTTGTCACTGTATCAAAGTATTCAGTCTGGAATAGCTATCAATACACCTTGAGGCTCACTATTACTCTAACAGATTTAAATCCCCACACTTTATTGAAAGAATGGAGAAAATCTGACTTTATAGCTTTTAAAAGAATCTAACCACAAAATATTCCTGCAGTGTGTTTAGGATGTAACTAGTCAGAATTAAATGATCTGGAATGTATAGCCTCAGTTCATGCCAATCATATGAGTGTGGCACAAGTTTATGCCAATATGATCTCTTTTGTGTCCGCGCTATGTGGATTGGATTAACTGGGAACCAAGCCAACAGACAATTTGTAACTCACGCAATGCTGTTACAAGATTCCAGCGTTTCACAGAGATAATCATCTGGATACAGCAACCCCTTGCAGGTGAAAGGATACACACGCAAAATCCATTGATGCAACAAGAGACTTTCTATTTATTTCCAGGATGGCGCAGTTCCAAGCCCAGAGGGAGATTTGCCTATCAAGTTACTGCTTCCGTTGACAAGAATGGTAATGCACACATGTACCGGAGGAGGATCTGGTTTTAAGGGAATGGGTTGGATCCTGCTCAAATTTTGGTGGGCATAGGGGGGCAGTTTTTGCTGAATCTCCCCTCCCCCAGAAATGCTGCTTATGGGAGAGAGAGGGAACCCCCCCCCAGGAATAGCTTGGGGAGAAACTGGAGGTATACCTTTGGGTGTGTGCCCCCCTTCTTGCATCCATAGACATCTAGGCAGAATCCAAACCAATGTGTTGTTGTTTCTGTGACCCCAATATTCTCCAGTTCTCAGTTATTTTCTGCCATCTTCCACCATCTTGAATTGTACTCTTAAGAACAGGGGTGTCAAACCTGCGGCCCGCAGGCCAGAACTGGCCCACCCAGGCCTTTAATCTGGACTGGGAGGGGGGGAGAGGAGCTAGAGCTGTGTGGGAGTATAAAGAGCGGAGGGTGGGGCTGACTCTGAGAGCAGAGAGCACAGGGCGGGGCTACCAGACTTCCCAGCCACTTCTCCAAGCCTCCGTAGTCCTCATCACAGGTAGGAGTTTGGGGGGGTCCTTCTGCTGTGATCCTTGTGCCTTTTTATTTTAAAACTGGCTTAATCCCACCACCTTTCCAGTTTAGGCAGGCACGTTTTAAGGACGGGGGAGGAGGTTTGGGACCAGCCAGGGTTAAAATATAGAGTTCTGCAAACTCAAGGGACTCCAGTTTTGCAGAGAAATATTAGTTTTAACCTTCTAATGTGGAACTCCAATAGAATAATAGCAGAACAAGTGCTGGACACCCAAAACTATTATCTCAAATCACCCTGTAAAAATTCCTGTGAGACCCTGGAGAGCCACTGCAACTTTGAGTCGAGCGGGGGTGGGGGGCTTGCAATGCACAGCTGTTTCATGCTCTTCCCCTGGGTCCTAAGCTCAGACCATTTATTTTTGTAGTTTATATTTCGGGGGGGGGGGGGGGGGGGAACAAAACCCAGTGCAAGAAATAATGCCCGTTGTGGAAATAAATACAACGAGATCTAGAAAGAGGCTCTGGGAGAGTGCTCTGGCTTTGGGCAAACAGTGTCAGTCTGCTTTTAAAACATGAACCTGGGACCTGCACACCACCAGAATACAGCAGGTTCCATATGCAACTGACATTCCAACTGCCTTGCGGGGGGGGGGAGTTTGAGGTGTGGAATGGAGTGAAGTCCAATCAGCTTCCATATGCAAAAGACCAGGTTGTCGCAGCAGTTGTGGTGTGGGCGGGACCCGGGCTTTGCCTTCTGATTGGTGGCGATATATGCTGAGGAGCAGTGCCATCAGCCATACACTAAGGGAGTGCATTTTAGAATTAGAACTTTGGCACCCACTATTCAATTATATATAAGGAGAGATATCTCTGCTATCTGGCTGCTACACACATGGCCCGGCCTGACAAAGTCCAATTTATGTCAGATCTGTTCCTCATAAGAAATGAGTTCAACACCCCTGCTTAAGATCATATTTATTATCATATGAAATAAAAAAAATTGCAAGAAAATATTTTACACCTTAGACCTTTCTACTGTATTTTCTAGATGAGCATGTACTGTAAGACCACTATGATAGTAAGATTCAGAATGGATAAAACATTGGCCTTGGGGGAGATCACTCTCCCCTTGACTGAACAGAGTGTGCTGATATACATCTGTATGAAAAGGAAGCACAGTTTGGATTTGGACAGAAAGACACAGAGGAGCAGACAGCTGTAGCTGGAGTAGAATGTCACACCATGGAGGGCCATGTGTGTAGGATCTCTCCCTCTCCCTCTCTCTGTCCCCCCCCCAAAGATATGATGTGCAGAAGCAAATTCTACAAAAATGCCATAATTCTCCAAGGATCATGCCCCTCAAAGGAAACCAGCCTGGATAAGCACTTCCCTTTAGAACTTCTCATATCTTGGAGAAGTAGAATGCACGTCCATTGGCAAACGGAGCTCACCTGGCTATTACCTTGCATCTGGTAAGTTGTACTAAGTTTGGGTGTAACAAATTTAGAGTCCAATAGCACCTTTAAGACCAACAAAGGTTTATTCAAGGTGTGAGCTTTTGTGTGCAAGCACACTTTATCAAATATGTTAGAACGGGTGTGTGGTAATGTGAAGAGCCTGGTTTATGGAATAAAAACTAGCAGGGGGTGCTTACGGTAGCTTTCTTCCCTCTGGTACTAACATTATTCACCCACTGAGCCCTGAGAATTGTGGCCATGTTTCTTCTGAAATGTGCATCTTACCATTTTGCCCATTGTCATCCCTCCCTTCTTCCTCTCTCTAGGGAGCAGTGTTCCCTCTAAGCTGAGTTAGTTCCAGCTCACACATTTTTGTCTTACTCAGGAAGGATGGCTCCAGAGCAAACTAATTTATGCAGTAGCCAGATCTCCCACTCACAGCTTTAATGCCAGTAGCTCACAAAGGCCCCGTTCATACGAGGCAGTTTGGGCCGGGAGCGGGCCGGATTGGAGGTGCATCAGACGGGTGCGATCCCACGGCAACATCTGCCTGGCGTCGCGCTCCCGCCTCCAACCCGGCCCTTCCCCCGATGAAGCGCCTCAAAGATGAACCACCTACCTTCGGTGGTTCATCCGGTTGAGCCGCTTCATCCTCCCCGTGGGATCGGCGGCGCGTCTTGCCGCCATCGCATCCCCGCTTCCCTGCCATACTGCGCATGCTCGAGCATGCGCAGTACGGCAGCCTCCCCCTCCAACGAGTGTCTTCCTCCCCAGCATCTAATTGTGCCGGGGAGCAACGGAGCGCGGCAACCGGGATCTGTGGGATCCCGCCGGGGTGTTTCTTTTTGGGACTTAAAATGGAAGAAGTCAATACGACTAAAAAGACTTTACTCTGGTACCTGATAGTGACAGCGAGAATGATTTATGCTCAGTTTTGGAAGACAGAAAAGGTACCAGAGGTTGAAGAATGGATACAAAAAGTTCTGTTCATGGCACAAATGGATAAGATTACAAAAAAACTGAATAACAAAGAAGACGATGAGTTTTTTGGAGAATGGAATGATTTTAAAATTTATCTGGAAAAGAACTGGGATGTGAAACAAAACTTAATATGTTTAGATCAATATTAAGTCAAACGATGTTATCTTTAGATTGTAATGATGAGAAACTGATATTGTTGATGATATGAAGTAATTTGGAGCAGGGGTGGAAGCATTGTGGGAAGCCATTGGAGGGAGGGGAGGAACTGGGAATGGGGTAGACAATTGATAGAATGAAAAGTTTTATATGTTGTATTCCTGAGAAAATAAAAAATTTGTTTACCAAAAAAAAAAAGAATATCCCGTTCCATGATCCTGTTGGATCCAACCAACTTTTCCACGGGCAAAATACAGAGAAGGGAGTCCCCTTTGATGACCCAAAAGGCTATGCATGGGCAGGGTTGCCAACATCCAGGTGGTACCTGGAGATCTCCCACTATTACAATTGGTCTCCAGATGACCAGTATCTGTTCCCTTGGATACAATGCCTGCTTTGGAAGATGAACTCCACAGCATTATACCCTGCTGCGATCCTTCCCCTCCCCAAAACCTGCTCCCACAGGCTCCACCCCTAAAATCTGGTATTTCCCAACCTGGAGCTGGCAAGCCTAATTATGGGATTTGCATAGACATGACTTGGAGTGGATGGCTCAGCATGCCTGGTCACTGGGGGATGCTACATCACTCTGGGAGCATATAGGTGCTATCTCCTTGAATGGGATGCCTCTCTTTGTCTTAACCCGGGAGCTGCCACCTGAGCCCTCCCCTCTCTCTCTCTCTCTCTCTACATGGCTGTCGATGGAGCCACATGTCTCTACAGGTCTCTCCTGTGGATACAATGCCCTCATACTCCCGCACACATGATGCCAAACAAGCTGGCCATGTGTGATACGGAAAGTACTCTTTAGATTAGGCTTTTCCTTCTTTCGACTACAACCTGAATGTGAACTGAATCTACTTGAATAAATGTGGCACCTTTAAGACCAACAAAGTTTTGTTCAAGGTATGAGCTTTGGTATGGGAGTCTGAAAAAGTGTGCATGCTCATGAAAGTTCATACCTTGAATAAAACTTCGTTGGTTTTCAAGGTGCCCCACTGGGCTCTAAATATGTTCTACTGCTTCAGACCAACATGGCTGACCACCTGAATAAACGTAAATTTACTTTTGGAAGATACTTCTACACTCAGTCTCTGTGACTGGGCAAACTCTGCTATGTTAACCAAATATCCCAATAATGACACATGCACAGACATGTAGGATGGGGGGTGTAGCGAGAAGGGGATTTAGGGAGAATGCATGAAAAAAGCTGCCTGAATACAACCCAGTGTTTCTTGCATGGGACTATAATGCTCAATTACCACAGAACAGCATTAAGCTAGTGTAACGCAGCCCCCCCCCCCCCCCCCCCCAGGAGGAGGCATGGGGGGACGAGAAA